AAAAAAAAAAAAAGAATTATTTAACTTCATTTAATTATTTATTATTTGTATTTGATCAGAGAGGAATAAGCGAGAAAGAAAGAGAGAGGGAAAGCAAGAAAGTAAGCCACCAGGTCCAGGACTCGAACTACAGTCAGCCATGTGGGAGTCCAGCGCCTCTAACCACCACACCACGTGCCGGCCTCCAAATAATTCTTTTTTTTTTTTTTTAAAGAATTGTTTTATTAACTTCATTCATTCATTCATTCATTCATTTTAATTTCGTCAGAGAGGGACAGAGTAAGAGAGAAAGAAAGTGAAAATGCAAGCCACTAGGTCCAATACTCAAACTGCGGTCAGCCATGTGTGAGCCCAGTGACCTTTACCACTATGTCACCTGCTGGCCCCCCAAATAATTCTTAAAACAAAACAAAATATAACCTTGGACAAGACAGGTGAAAGGAGATCTTGCTTTCAGGCTCTGTATTATGAAAATAATCTGATTAGCTTGATCCGCTCAAAAGGAATGGGAATTTAATTTGAGGGGAAGGGGTAAGAAAGAAAAACAAAAAGTGAGAAATCTGCAAGGTCATTTGGAACATGACATATGTCCCAGGGCACTGGGATCCTAAATGCAAAGAATGAAGGTAAGTCAAGCCAAGAGGCAGAAGAAAGCAGCAGCTATGGCTCAAACACGTGGGGATGGAGCTTCAAAGGTTAACTCTGCCTTGAGCCATTGCCAAGGTCTCCACTGACTTCTAGAGGGGTGAGCCGGGGTCGGACTGGAGCATCCACGACCGAGCGGCACCAGAGCCTGAGGAGGGACGCGTGACTGAGGGTGGGAGTGGCGGCTGAGGGCTAACGCCAAGGGAGAGGAGGTTTCAAACTGTAGCTGAGTTAGACCCCAAAATGGGATCCAGGTTATTAAAATTATAGGTCTTCGGGAACTTCTGTTTTCTATTCTAAGTTTTATTCAAACTGTTTATGCTGGAAATTCTGAGTATGTCTGGGTCAAAGAAATGTGTGATTGGCAGATACCATTCAGAATTCACCAAGCTCCAATAAAACTGTTTCACTTGAGCTCAGAAAATGAAAACTACAATAAGGCAGGAATGTGTAGAAACAAAAAAAATGAGGGTTGGCCTGTGGCATGACTGTTAAGATGGCTGGAACCCACGTGGCTGACTGTGAAGCTCGAGTCTTGGACCTGAAGACTTGAAAAACACACCAGATGCGTGTGCATGAGTACCCAAAATCCCAAGAGGAGACTGGAGGTGAAGTGACTGTGGCATGGCCATCCCCCACTGGGAGATGCTGGGAGATGCTTTTTCATTTTCTCTGTCTGCCCGCTCCCAAACAAAAACCTTACGGCAAAAAAAAAAAAAAAAAAGTAAGTTTCCCATAAATACTTCCAAAACATATAATTATACTAATTGTTTTCAAAAGTCCTTTAAGTCTGGGAGCCAGCAGTTGACATAATGGCTATGTCGCTGAATTCCCATGTAGCCGACCGCGGTTCGAGTCCCAGACCTGGTGGCTTAAATTCAGGCTGGTCGCGTGTGAGTGCGTGCCCAAGATCCCGAGAGGAGAAAGGAGGAGATGGGATTGCGGCATGACCATCCCCCCAGGGGGTGATTTCTCGCTTTCTGTGTCTGTCTCTCTCTGTCTTTCTGGAGAATGCACGTGCCCTATAGCAAAAACCTCTTACAAAAACAAAACAAAACAAAAAGTCCTTTAAGTCTGGCCAGTCTCGTGGCTCGGCAATGAAGGGGAAGGGACTGCATGTGGCTGACCATGGTTTGAGACCCAGTCCCAGTGGCTTGGAAAACATGCAGGCAGAGGTGCATATGTGCTCAACATTCCGATGGGAAGGCAGAATGGAGGAGAAAGACTGCAGTGTGACCACACCCCACCGACGGTGTTCTCTCTCTCTTTGGTGAGTACATGCATCCTATGGCAAAATAAACGTCCTCTAAACCAAGAAAAATACGTGTGTTTGGAGTAAAAACACACAAGGGCGATGGTTGGTATTGTCCCCTCACCACCTCTATCTGCGACCACTGCTGCTCACACCCCGAAGTTCTCCCGTCTGGGGAAGGGCCTTGGCCACAGGCATATTATCCTTGCTCCCCACAGGCCCCGGGACATGGCGCGCAGCCCTGTCTGCTCACCTCCAGTCTCCTCCCCTCAATCCCACAGCTTTCTAACTTACTACAGACGTAAGTACCTCAATGTGTACCTCTATCACTTTGCCTCTTTTTTTTTTTTTAACATAAAAATATATTTATGGGGGGACCAGCAGTTAGCGTAATGGCTATGTCGCTGGACTCCCAAGTAGTTGACCGCGGTTCGCGTCCTGGACCCGGTGGCTTAAAACTCACGCCGGGCTCGTGTGCGTGCGTGCCCAAGATCCCGAGAGGAGAATGGAGAAGGGATTGCGGCGTGACCATCCCCCATGGGGGGTAATTTCCCGCTTTCTGTCTCTATGTCTCTCTCTCTGCCTTTCTGGCGAGTGCACGCGCCCTATAGCGAAAAACTCTCAAAAAAATATATATATATGTATATTTATGGGGCCAGCAGATAGCATACTGGTTAAGGTGCTAGTCCTACATGGCCAAGTGTAGTTCAGTCTGGACCCAGCAGCTTGAAAACCACACCAGGTGCGTGTGTGTACATGCCCAAAATCCTCGGAGGAGGATGGAAGAGAAGGGACTACAGAGTGGTCATCCCCCTTGGGGGGTGATTTCTCACTCCCCACCCCTGTCTCTCTCCCATGAGAGTACATGCCCTATGGCAAAACCTTAAAAAAAAAGTTAATAAAAAAATTTGAATCCTGTATGACGCAAGACCAGTTCCGCCCTAGCCCTTCCAAGTGCACCCCGACTCTCCTCCCACTGACGTTCCAGTGGCAAAGGCTGTCCAGTGGCTGACGCTGCCCTCCCAGACAGGGGACCTACAGAGCTGGGTTCAGGCTCTGTGATCTCACACGACCCCGAGGAGACTTAAGAGAAGTTATTTCAGCTTTCTTATTATCTACTCAGCTGCAACACTGCACACTTGCATGCTGGTCAGTCCCCACATCCCCCACGTCACACACAGCCACTCCACACTGCTTAAATAAAGACCCAAATTACCAAAGGTTCCCTACTCCTCTTCCCGCCTTCTATTCCCCTCTCCCCCCATTGGTGTATTAATAGTTACCCTATCAAACACTGACTTTGCTGTTATCAAAACTTGGCAGTGGTCCCCAAATTGGAAATTACAGGCACTTTTGCACTGCCCAAAACCTTTGCTGCTGCTTCTACATCCATGATGCACTCTGCCATGACTCAGTATCCCATTCTTTAGGAATGCCCTCTTCTGCTCGACACGCTAGTCTTCCCCACAGGTGGCCAAGTCCCAGCGTCACTCTTGCACAACCAGCTGTAAGCCCTGTTTTAAATGTCATCTCCTTCTCCACAGATGCTGCCACGGAGCTGACCCCAACCCTGCTCTCCGCGATCCTGAGTCCCAGAGCACTCCGAGCACTGATCGTCACAGCCGGTTGCCTTTGCACGAGCGCCCGACCACGACCAAGCGCTGTGGCACTCACTTCCTGCTTATCTGGGCCTCTAAAGAACCTAGGGAGGAGGGACCAGCAGTTAGCGTAATGGCTGTGTCGCTGGACTCCCATGTAGTCAACTGCAGTTCGAGTCCTAGACCCGGTGACTTAAACTCATGCCGGGCACATGTGCTTGCGTGCCCAAGATCCTGAGAGGAGAAGGGATTGTGATGTGGCCATCCTCCCTGGGGGGTGATTTCTTGCTTTCTGTCTCTCTGTCTTTCTGGTGAGCGCACGCACCCTATAGCGAAAACCTCTCCAAAAAAAAAAAAAAAGAAGAAAAAAAAAGAACCTAGGGAGGAAAGACTGCTCTTCGTATTTTCCACATGCGGAACCCATAATTTGGCAAAGATTAGGTGGCTTATTCAGAGCCAAGTAGATATTTAAATGCTAGTGTCAAGACTCAAACTGGGAGCATCCACGTCCAACTCCACGTCCTTCCTTGTGCACTGTTGAAAGTAAACCCAGCTGCCAAGCAAGCCCCGCTGGTGCAAGACTCTCAGGGGTTGCTTCGGGCCATGTGAAGATCGTTTTGGCCTCTTGCCCATTCTGCATTACTATTTTATGTACCTCCCACTCTTAGCACCAAGTCCTGACACCCGAACTCACCCTTCCCTTCTCTGCCAACTCCCCTGGGCCGCTTCTCCTACCACATTAGCCGTATTCCTCTTCTGCTCTGACCATGGTCTTGCCCCCTTTGTCGCTGACACCTCTTCTGCCAGGGGCAGTCTGCCTCCCTGACCCAGGGACGCCCTCACTCTCTGGCTCATGAGCTACACCTGGTTTAGCACACGTTCTGTGTGAGTGTGTGTTTACTCATGGTTCAGCCCACGTTCCCCATCCTTTCCTCTCCTGCGCTGTCTAAACTACCCATTTCGAGTGTAAGCTCCTGGCCCAGAGTCAAAGGCACATCAGC